AATTTTATGTTTTTCATTTCTTACCTTTCTTTTCTTTTTTCTCCCTTTATTTCCATTGTTTCCTATTGTAACTTTCTGTACACATTACTCAATTTTGGTATATTTCAATTTTTTTTTAAGGATTTCTGGTCTTCCATTCATTTGGCGGTGGCACTGGCTCGGGTTTCACATCGTTGCTGATGGAGCGCCTTTCGGTTGACTATGGCAAGAAAGCGAAACTTGAATTCAGCGTCTATCCAGCCCCCCAGGTTTGATCTTTGTTTACGTCTAGCAGAGAGAAAAGTTAATACAAATGGTTTTTTATGAATTTTGCCCCTTGATTTTGCATCATTTCGTCCTGCAACTTTTTATTACTTTAAAATCAAATCGTGTGAAGTACTTATTTCGCACTTTAAAAGGATCAATATTTCTGAAAAGTTCTGTTAGATGAAAATTTATAAATTTTGATATCTAGAGTAAAAGAGCATTTGACCTATAGGATTTTAGCAAGATTTGGAAATCTGAGAAAAATTGTCCGAGTGTTTTCTGCTATCAGGGAATCCCTCAGAATATATTTGTTAATACACTATGTTTTACTAAACACGATATCGAAATCTTTGTTGTAATTTTTAGGTTTCAACAGCAGTGGTTGAGCCATACAATTCGATTTTGACAACGCATACGACCTTGGAACATTCGGACTGCTCATTCATGGTCGACAATGAAGCAATTTATGATATTTGCCGCCGGTAAATATTATGTAGTTTGAGTGCGAAGCAGCTTTAAATGCTACTTCTGCCCAAAGCGACCTCAGCAACATCCGTTTGGTTTTGTTGGTTCGGGTTTTTGGCTTAAATTCTTGGTGGTTTATATACTCTTGAACACCGAGGCAGTGGAATTACGGGTGCATTGATTCTTCGTGAACCGTCAGATTGCTAATTTACTGAACATTCAGAAATCTCGATATCGAGCGCCCATCATACACCAACCTGAACCGTCTTATTGGGCAGATTGTTTCATCGATCACCGCCTCACTTCGCTTTGATGGCGCTTTGAACGTCGATCTCACCGAATTCCAGGTTAGCTTCCGCTCGGTCTGCACAATGGTAAAGTAGCTAGAGTTGTTTTCCCCGAAAAGTATTGTCAGAGGTTTTTAGAAAGCCAAATTTTTTTTTTTTTT